CACCACCACAACGGCGACCACCACCACAACGGCGACCACCACCACCACAACAACTGCGACCACCACCACCACAACGGCGACCACCACCACCACAACGGCGACCACCACCACCACAACGGCGTCCACCACCACCACAACGGCGACCACCACCACCACAACGGCGACCACCACCACAACGACGACCACCACCACAACGACGACCACCACCACCACAACAACGGCGACCACCACCACCACCACAACGACGACGACCACCACCACAACGATGACCAACACCACAACGACGACCACCACCACCACAACGACGATGACCACCACCACAACGACGACGACCACCACCACAACAACGGCGACCACCACCACCACCACCACAACGGCGACCACCACCACCACAACAACGGCGACCACCACCACCACAACAACGGCGACCACCACCACCACAACAACGGCGACCACCACCACAACGACGACCACCACCACCACAACGGCGACCACCACCACCACCACAACGACGACCACCACCACAACAACGGCGACCACCACCACCACAACGACCACCACCACCACAACAATGGCGACCACCAAACCACCACAACGGCGACGACCACCACCACAACGACCACCACCACCACCACAACGGCGACCACCACCACCACAACAACAGCGACCACCACCACCACCACAACGGCGACCACCACCACCACCATAACAACGGCGACCACCACCACCACAACGGCGACCACCACCACCACAACGGCGACCACCACCACCACAACAACGGCGACCACCACCACCACAACAACGGCGACCACCACCACCACAACAACGGCGACCACCACCACAACGACGACCACCACCACCACAACGTCGACCACCACCACCACCACAACGACGACCACCACCACAACAACGGCGACCACCACCACCACAACGACCACCACCACCACAACTATGTCGACCACCAAAACCACCACAACGGCGACGACCACCACCACAACGACCACCACCACCACCACAACGGCGACCACCACCACCACAACAACAGCGACCACCACCACCACCACAACGGCGACCACCACCACCACCATAACAACGGCGACCACCACCACCACAACGGCGACCACCACCACCACAACGGCGACCACCACCACCACAACAACGGCGACCACCACTACCACAACGGCGACCACCACCACCACAACAACGGCGACTACCACCACCACCACAACGGCGACCACCACCACCACAACGGCGACCACCACCACCACAACAACGGCGACCACCACCACCACCACAACGGCGACCACCACCACCACCACAACAACAACGGCGACCACCACCACCACAACGGCGACCACCACCACCACAACGGCGACCACCACCACCACAACAACGGCGACCACCACCACCACCACCACCACAACGGCGACCACCACCACCACAACAACGGCGACCACCACCACCACCACCACCACAACGGCGACCACCACCACAACAACGGCGACCACCACCACCACAACAACGGCGACCACCACCACCACCACCACCACAACGGCGACCACCACCACAACAATGGCGACCACCAAAACCACCACAACGGCGACGACCACCACCACAACGACCACCACCACCACCACAACGGCGACCACCACCACCACAACAACAGCGACCACCACCACCACCACAACGGCGACCACCACCACCACCACAACAACCCCGACCACCACCACCACAACGGCGACCACCACCACCACAACGGCGACCACCACCACCACAACAACGGCGACCACCACCACCACAACAACGGCGACCACCACCACCACAACAACGGCGACCACCACCACAACGACGACCACCACCACCACAACGGCGACCACCACCACCACCACAACGACGACCACCACCACAACAACGGCGACCACCACCACCACAACGACCACCACCACCACAACAATGGCGACCACCAAAACCACCACAACGGCGACGACCACCACCACAACGACCACCACCACCACCACAACGGCGACCACCACCACCACAACAACAGCGACCACCACCACCACCACAACGGCGACCACCACCACCACCATAACAACGGCGACCACCACCACCACAACGGCGACCACCACCACCACAACGGCGACCACCACCACCACAACAACGGCGACCACCACTACCACAACGGCGACCACCACCACCACAACAACGGCGACTACCACCACCACCACAACGGCGACCACCACCACCACAACGGCGACCACCACCACCACAACAACGGCGACCACCACCACCACCACAACGGCGACCACCACCACCACCACAACAACAACGGCGACCACCACCACCACAACGGCGACCACCACCACCACAACGGCACCACCACCACCACAACGGCGACCACCACCACCACCACCACCACAACAACGGCGACCACCACCACCACCACCACCACAACGGCGACCACCACCACCACAACGGCGACCACCACCACCACAACAACGGCGACCACCACCACCACCACCACAACGGCGACCACCACCACAACAACGGCGACCACCACCACCACCACAACGGCGACCACCACCACCACCACCACAACGGCGACCACCACCACCACAACAACGGCGACCACCACCACCACCACAACGGCGACCACCACCACCACCACAACGGCGACCACCACCACCACCACCACAACGGCGACCACCACCACCACCAACGGCGACCACCACCACCACAACGGGCGACAACAACGGCACCACCACCACCACCACCACAACGGCGACCACCACCACCACCACCACAACGGCGACCACACACCACCACCACCACAACAACGGCGACCACCACCACTACCACAACGGCGACCACCACCACTACCACAACGGCGACCACCACCACCACAACAACGGCGACCACCACCACAACGACCACCACCACCACAACGACCACCACCACCACAACACGACGACCACCACCACAACAACGGCGACCACCACAACGGCGACCACCACCACAACAACGGCGACCACCACCACCACAACGACGACCACCACCACCACAACAACGGCGACCACCACGACCACCACAACGGCGACCACCACCACAACGGCGACCACCATCACAACGGCGACCACCACCACAACGGCGACCACCACCACAACGGCGACCACCATCACAACGGCGACCACCACCACAACGGCGACCACCACCACAACGGCGACCACCACCACCACCACAACGGCGACCACCGCCACCACCACAACGGCGACCACCACCACCACAACGGCGACCACCACCACAACAACGGCGACCACCACCACAACGGCGACCACCACCACCACAACAACGGCGACCACCACCACCACCACAACGGCGACCACCACCACCACCACAACGGCGACCACCACCACCACAACAACGGCGACCACCACCACCACAACAACGGCGACCACCACCACCACCACCACAACCACAACAACGGCGACCACCACCACCACAACCACAACAACGGCGACCACAACCACAACAACGGCGACCACCACCACCACAACCACAACAACGGCGACCACCACCACCACAACCACAACAACGGCGACCACCACAACAACAAGAACGGCGACCACCACCACCACAACCACAACTACCCCACACCAACTACAGTTATCACCACAACAACAACCAGAGCTTCAAATAACACATAATCCACAAAATCTTTTTTTTTAGTTACACAAAAACTTAAACCATTATTACCACACAATACTGAAGGTGTGGAATGACCCAGGGGTTGTGTGGAGGGTTACCTGTGGTTTACCTGTGTCTAGGTTTGAGTGTTTTCGTCTCTCGCAGCGAACCCCGAAACCAGGCTTCTCAGGTCTGATCAATTTGACTATTGCTGGTAGCAGTCTACTGTACCTTATCGTAAAGTGGGTTATGCTAGGGTGAGAGGCTGGTGCAGGGTGAGAGGCCAGTGTAGGGTGGGAGACTGGTGCAGGGTGAGGCTGGTGTAGGGTGAGAGGCTGGTGTAGGGTGAGGCTGGTGTAGGGTGAGAGGCTGGTGTAGGATGAGAGGCTGGTGTAGGGTGAGGCTGATGTAAGGTGAGAGGCTGGTGTAGGGTGAGAGGCTGGTGCAGGGTGAGAGGCTGGTGCAGGGTGAGAGGCTGGTGTTGGGTGAGAGGCTGGTGTAGGGAGAGAGGCTGGTGTAGGGAGAGAGGCTGGTGTAGGATGAGAGGCTGGTGTAGGGTGAGAGGCTGGTGTAGGATGAGAGGCTGGTGTAGAGTGAGAGGCTGGTGTAGGGTGAGAGGCTGGTGTAGGGAGAGAGGCTGGTGTAGGGAGAGAGGCTGGTGTAGGATGAGAGGCTGGTGTAGGGTGAGAGGCTGGTGTAGGATGAGAGGCTGGTGTAGAGTGAGAGGCTGGTGTAGGGTGAGAGGCTGGTGTAGGATAAAAGGCTGGTGTAGGGTGAGGCTGATGTAGGGTGAGAGGCTGGTGTAGGGTGAGAGGCTGGTGCAGGGTGAGAGGCTGGTGCAGGGTGAGAGGCTGGTGTAGGGTGAGAGGCTGGTGTAGGGTGAGAGGCTGGTGTAGGGTGAGAGGCTGGTGTAGGGTGAGAGGCTGGTATAGGGTGAGAGGCTGGTGCAGGGTGAGAGGCTGGTGTAGAGTGAGAGGCTGGTGTAGGGTGAGAGGCTGGTGTAGGATAAAAGGCTGGTGTAGGGTGAGAGGCTGGTGTAGGGTGAGGCCAGTGTAGGGTGAGAGGCTGGTGTAGGGTGAGAGGCTGGTGTAGAGTGAGAGGCTGGTGTAGGGTGAGAGGCTGGTGTAGGGTGAGAGGCTGGTGTAGGGTGAGAGGCTGGTGTAGGGTGAGGCTGGTGTAGGGTGAGAGGCTGGTGTAGGGTGAGGCCAGTGTAGGGTGAGAGGCTGGTGTAGGGTGAGAGGCTGGTGTAGGGTGAGGCTGGTGTAGAGTGAAGCTGTAGGGTGAAGCTGTAGGAGACACAGAAGGCGAGTCAGTACCTGGGTCGTGGTGGTCGTGGTGAAGGGTGTCGCCGCGGGCGGGGGGGCTGGGGGTGTCGTGCCCCAAGATGGCCGTGACGGAGAACTTGAGGTGGGGTTTAGTGGAGGGGGTATCTGGGCACGGGCTGGGTGGGGCATCGCCCTCACACCCACACCCCTCCTCCCCGTCCCTGGCGGACCTGGAGGGCGGGGAGGGCAGCGGGGCGGGCGGGGTGAGCCTATCCGGCCCCGCGGGGCGCGCCAACAGGCCCAGGTAGTGGGCGGCGGGGTCGTCCTTGTAGTAGTAGTGGTGGTCGGGCCGGTGGTCGTCGTGCAGCAGCAGCGGCGGCTTGGTAGCGACGGGTCGCGCCAGTTGTCGCTCCCGCAGCAGCGACTCCACCACGTACGGCGCCGTCATGGTGCCCATGGTGCCCGCCACGGTCGACACGGCGGAAAAGGGCAGCGGCAGGGGCCCCAGCGATCCCAGGAGACTGTGAGCTGGAAGCCCCGAGTGCCCCAGGGGGCGCAGACCCCCGCCAAGCACCCCAGCGGGGCCCATACTAGGCAACATCACCCCCGCACTCTCCAAGAAACAAATATAATTTTCCACAAGGCCACAAAACAGCGGGGTAGAGACGGTGATGGCGGGAGCGGCGGCGGCGGTCACTGGTGTTGACAATCCTGGCTCATGGCGGCTGTGGGAGTCGATGCGGGCGACCGCGGAACCTTCAGCCTCACTACTGCCTTGTGCTCACCGCCAGAGCTCAGCCTCCACTCATCTCCTCACTTCCAGATGAGGCAAATAAACCCTACATGTGATATGTTTCGTGTAATCCTCGTTAGAGTCTATTGTATGAGCGTCCCCATCATTGTTGGACACGCCCACTCCCGCCCCCTCGGCCAATCACTGCCGGGGCCCCGCCTCCCGCCGCCTTCCATTGGCCGGCCGTTTGTTGCCACATTGATCAAACGGACCAATCACCGGCTGGGATGTATTCATTGCTGGCTTGTATGATGGTGATCTTGTCGGAATGATTCTGATGTGATTCCTATGATGTCGTTGGCCCGATATGATTAGAGAGCCATCAAGCGTCCTGGGAACCGATTGATTCTCCACTCAAGGATCAATCCGGAGAAGAGAAGACTCATTTCCGGATGAGTATTGTGATGGGTCGCATAAGAATCGTCTCATCAGAGGGTTCCCGAGTGAGGACTCAAGGGGGGGCAATCAGTTTGCTCCCTCGAGCGTAAGGCTAGGCTGGGCACCTGATAATAGTGGTGCTCCTGTCTGCCGGCCCACTCGCACTGTCTTATGGCCGTGTCTTGTGGCTGCGTCTTGGGCATTTACCTTATGGCTGCGTCTTGGGCATTCACCTTATGGCTGCGTCTTGGGCATTTACCTTATGGCCGTGTCTTGTGGCTGCGTCTTGGGCATTTACCTTATGGCCGTGTCTTGTGGCTGCGTCTTGGGCATTTACCTTATGGCCGTGTCTTGTGGCTGCGTCTTGGGCATTTACCTTATGGCCGTGTCTTGTGACTGCGTCTTGGGCATTTACCTTATGGCTGCGTCTTGGGCATTCACCTTATGGCTGAGTCTTGGGCATTCACCTTATGGCTGAGTCTTGGGCATTCACCTTATGGCTGAGTCTTGGGCATTCACCTTATGGCTGAGTCTTGGGCATTCACCTTATGGCTGAGTCTTGGGCATTCACCTTATGGCTGAGTCTTGGGCATTCACCTTATGGCTGAGTCTTGGGCATTCACCTTATGGCTGAGTCTTGGGCATTCACCTTATGGCTGCGTCTTGGGCATTCACCTTATGGCTGAGTCTTGGGCATTCACCTTATGGCTGCATTACGTGAGGTCACACACCACACAGTCATCTCATAATGGCTGGTATGAGTAACCTTATAATGGCTGGTATAAGTAACCTTATAATAGCTGTTCTATTGGTGAATGATTATTGAATTGTAATTGTATGTACTGTACTGTAATTATGGCTGAAAGCTCTAAGCTTACAAACAGGAGCAAGAAGTTTGTCTGTTCCTGTACCCACCTGTAAAAAAAAAAATACATCCGAGAAGAATGTTTGGAATACTAAGTCTTTCCCTGCAAAGACTCTTCAGTGTCGGGTGTCTGGAGCAGGAAAAAGGAAGGTCATGTGTGTGTTGACGGAAGAACACGTGTATATATATGCCTTTTGGGTGAAGGAAGGCGGTCTCCAAAGGGGGGGGGGAAGGAGAGAGAGAGGGGGGAAAGAAAGAGAGAGAGAGAGAGGTATGGGGAAGAAAGAGAGACAGGAAAGTAGGAGGGAAAGTAGGTGAGAACAAACTCTGGCGAAGGAAATGAGACATTTGGAAGGCGTGAGAAAGACTTCAAGAAGTGAAAAAAGAGGTAAAGGGAGAGGTTAAATGAAGGAGGAAGAGTCGAGAGAGTAGAATGTAGAGGGAAGTAGAGTAATGGAAGTGGAGGTATAGGCACAAGAGGTGAGAGGCAATGGAAGGAGGAAAGGAACTCTAAAGAGCTGTACCAACACTGTTCCACTGAAAGAGGAGAAGGGGGGTGGGGGAGAGAAAAGAAATGGGTGAAAGGAAATGTATGGAGGAGAAAAAAATAAGATTGGAAGGAGGGAGTACAAGAGAGAGTGGAGGGAAGGAGGGAGTACAGGAGAGAGTGGAGGGAAGGAGGGAGTACAGGAGAGAGTGGAGGGAAGGAGGGAGTACAGGAGAGAGTGGAGGGACTATAGGAGAGAGTGGAGGGACTATAGGAGAGAGTGGAGGGAAGGAGAGAGTGGAGGGAAGGAGGGAGTACAGGAGATAGTGGAGGGAAGGAGGGAGTACAGGAGAGAGTGGAGGGAAGGAGGGAGTACAGGAGAGAGTGGAGGGAAGGAGGGAGTACAGGAGAGAGTGGAGGGAAGGAGGGCGTATAGGAGAGTGGAGGGAAGGAGGGAGTACAGGAGAGAGTGGAGGGACTATAGGAGAGAGTGGAGGGACTATAGGAGAGAGTGGAGGGACTATAGGAGAGAGTGGAGGGAAGGAGAGAGTGGAGGGAAGGAGGGAGTACAGGAGAGAGTGGAGGGAAGGAGGGAGTACAGGAGAGAGTGGAGGGACTATAGGAGAGAGTGGAGGGACTATAGGAGAGAGTGGAGGGACTATAGGAGAGAGTGGAGGGAAGGAGAGAGTGGAGGGAAGGAGGAAGTACAGGAGAGAGTGGAGGGAACCCCACACAGCGGCACCATCACTCCACCGCCGAACAAACTTCCTCGTATGACCTGCTTTGCATTTTTTATTAAACAATTTGGAATGAACGTCGAAAGTTTCCAAGTGCGATCTTGTCCCGGGGAGGGTTAGGGGGTGGGGAGGGAGGGGGAGTGGCTATGGGAGGGGTAAGGGGGGGGGGTGGAGGGAGGGGAATAGGTGGTGATGGTGAGGTGGGGTTAATGGGGGTTTTATAGTTTTACGTGTGTGTGTCCGTGAGAGAGAGAGAGAGAGAGAGAGAGAGGGGGGGGAGAGAGAGAGAGAGAGAGA